CCCCATTTTGGAATGGGAGGGATATGGGCTGTCATTTTGAAAAATTAGTAAGGGTGTTATGGGAAAAATGAAAAAATCATTAAAAGGAGCCGGCTGTTTTTTTTCAAAGCAGCTTTGAGAAGCTGGGTCCAACCTACTTTGAAAAACTTCTTTGAATGACCTGAGATTTTAATATAAGCTTACTTGATTTCTTTCACCAAACACTTTCAATTGCAAAAATGATTTTTAAAGCAACTTATTTTTTAAGCACCGCACTCCTAAACGCCACCTTAATCTAATGACAACAAACAAGCTTGTAAAAAAATTATTAAAAAAAACCCAACAATAATGACAATTTCATATACCAAGGTATCTCTTTATTTCAAACTGAAAATCACTTGAATCCGAAATCATTTTATCACTCATTTGAATTATTGAAATTTTAATACTTTCTTGAAGTATCATGTTCATTGATTTTGTATGACACAATTGGATGTTGAAACGGTCTATGTGATATACAACAGTTCAATCCTAGATTGCAGCTTTGAGCTGTGGCATTTCTGCATTCTGTTATTTTTATCCATTCTGAAATAAGCCAGCATTAAAATCTTGGTTTGAGCAGAGTCAATACAAAAGCCTCGAAGGTTTTCACAGAAAAAAAGCATTTGTATGAGCCACTGTTATTTGGTATCTTATTGGGTTGCAAGTTGGTTAGGTGAATTCTTTTTATTAGTTTAGGGATAGAGATAAAGAAAGTCAAGTGTTGCCACAGTTCAAGAGGCTTTCTATTTCTGGTTAATACTGTTAATTATATAAGAGTTTTGGTATTTCTAAACTAATTCATGTACCTTAGTTAATAGAGGGGTCCATACAAACCTTCCTAGTGAATATCAGCTTTGCAAGCCTGAACAATTGAAATATTTCTATCCCAAACATTTCCCTATACGTTATATATAATATTTGATTGAAAGATATTTGGTCATTAATAGTTAATGTGCTTTGATCATATCGTTGAAACTGTTGAGGAAAGCTTGTTTTATTTTCATGTGTGTCTGAGGAGGGAAGAAAGCTGTGTTATGAAATTTTATTGTGATGGCAACCTTTTGGTTTATTTTGTAGAGTTGAATGACAAAGCCTTTGAACAGTAAGTGGTAGTTTGGGGCTGGGATTATTTGAGGCGTATAGTTCAACTTTGGACAGTTTTGGTGGCATTTCAAATCATAGTGACTTTCAACCCTAAACCGTAAAATGGTAGTGACTTTATTCGGTGTTGTTTCTTGTTTTAGGGGCCTAGTTTCCACTAGCAGTGTAAATAAGAACTTGGATATTTATGAAATACTCTGTATTTCGTATCCTAAAAAACAAAATGATTGAAGGAGAGTATGAGACTTTTGGATTATAATTTATATCAGTGCGCCGTTTCACACAGAGCATGCTTTCCAAAATGTGGTCACTGTTTTGGGAACTTTTATTGCTGGAATACATTTACTTGTCAGTTTATTGTAAGATTTCTTTTGACAATGTGGTTTACCCAATTTTTACTTTAATTATATGATAGGGTCTATCTCATGAGTAATTCAAGATTGTGATTCCTAAAATTCCTACATATTTCACGATATGAAAAAGAGATGGAGTATTTTACGAGACATGCCTAGTTATCCTTTTGCAAAACAAGTCAAAATAGTTATTGCAACCATGGCACTTCATAACTATATAAGAAGACATGCCAAACGTGATTGTCATTTTGATGAAAGTGAAGATGACCTAAATGGTACTCAAGATGAAGAGATTGAGAGAGAGGTTGATGCACAACAAGAAGATGGTTCTGTAACACAAGAAATGGAGGCATTGAGAAATAATATAGCCACAAGTTTAGTGAGTTCATCTGCTTAGAAATGTATATGATTGCTTGTTTAGGACTAGTTTAATTTTTGTTATAACTATATTACTGACAATATATTTATTTTTAATGGAATACTTTATTTATTTTATAATTAAAATAATTTTTAGGGTGTGATGGAAACATATTTAATAAAAAAATATTATATAAGCTAAAGTGAAAGTGCTTTTCCTTTTACCAAACACTTGAACAAAAAAGTCATTTCAGCATAATGCCCTTTTTAGTCATTATACACAGCTCACAGCACTTTTACAAACAAATTTACCAAACACTCAGAAACTGATTATTGTACAAACAACACTTATAACAAAAAGTTTACCAAACGCCAAACTGTTTTCTCTCACAGCTGATTTCTCTCACAGCAAATCTGACAGCGATTATTTTCACAGCACAGCAATGCCAAATTGGCCCTAAGGCATACTCCGCATTGTATTTCACTAATCCAAACCATCTATTTTGTAGATATTCATTCAAAGATCATCTCTATAAAAAAATAATTTGAATCCGAAATCATTTGAAGCAGCGTGTTCATTGATTTTGTATGACACAATTAGATGTCTAAACGGTTTCCGATTTGTCTAATTTTTTGCAAGGATGATCTATTAATGAAGACCTAAAAAAATAGATGGTTTGGATCATTGAAAAAAAATTTGTAGGGTACTCTAAAGGGTGTCCCTCAAATAAAATGATTTGAGAGATCCCTCAATAGAAGGGGACTTCGAACTCGGGTATATATATACACACGAGCGATATTCTACTCTAAACTATGAGGAGGGGAATTCAAACTCGGGTGTAGAGTGGGGAGCACATCCGCTCTAGCCAACTTGGCTGAGCCCATATATGCCATCTGTCTTTATTTATATTAGATGTTATATAGAACAAACAGTAACTAATTAACCAGTAAAGCCTTTTTATATTTTTAGGATGGCTTCTCTAATGAGGGGCTATGTAGAGGGGTTACAGTGAGGGGTCTAATCCAGCAGTCCACTAATAAATCTACACTAAATCGGACAATTATTAAGAAACTGCTCATTATAACTCCTTACTTTTACTCCTCGTGCCATCTCCAACCCAAGGAGTGGAAACCCAAATTATAAGTTTTGAGTCCAAAAATCTTCTCCAACCCATGTATTTTGGGGGGTGGAAATTTGAGAAATCTCAAATTTGGGGTGGAATTCCAGTCTAAGTATTGCATGGACTGATATTTTATGTGGGCCCAAACTCTGCTTTTGTTTTTTCTGGCTTGGAAGCCCACGTGCTGACCAAAAATTGCTAGGCCCCGCTGACATTTGTTGTTTGGTCAACAACTTGTGCAAAACAGCTGGCCCGCATGACATTGGATTCCATTCCAACTGCTATATTTTCAAAAGTTGGGCTGTGTTGTTTTTTTTTATTTTTAATATTTTAATTCCAACAACTATATTTGTAATCAACGATCAGGATTAATTTTAGGCAATTTGAACGGTAAAATTTCACATCCAACAGCTCAAATTTAAATCCAACAGTTAAAATAATATTTATAATTAATCTAAATCAGATCCAACCCCAAAACTTATTCCAAACTCTTATAAATAGCCATTCATTTGGTAAATAATCCACCAAAAATCATTTTTTTCCTTTCTCCCTTTGTTTTCCTTTCTCCATTTGTTATATTTTTTTTATTCTACTTTCATTCTTGTTGAGAATGGCCCCAAAACCCCAAAAATGTGTGAATTAGAAACAACAAGAAGATGAGGCATTGTGCAAAGGGTGGGTTTCTATCTTTGAAGATGGGGCTATTGGCACGAATCAACCAAACGATTCATTTTGGTTGCGTGTGTACCAAAAGTTTTTGGAAAATGATCCGGGCATGAGCAGAGTCGAGGTACGATCACCGCAAGCTATTGCTTCTCAGTTCAAGATAATCAACCAACAATGTTCTCTATGGAAGGCATGTATGACAAAGGTCAATACAAGACATGTGAGTGGCTCCAATCTTGAAGATGTGGTGAGTACCCATTTTTTTCAATGCTTAAATTTATAATTCTAATTCTTTTCAATTATTAACTTGATTTTTATTTTATTTCATGGGTTCTATGAATGCAAAAACAATTTTCTTAAATGATAATAAATCTTCGAATAGGCCTTTCAAGTTGTATAATGCTTGACAAATCTTAAAAGATTGCCCAAAATGGAACGACCTATGTGAATCTCCCACACAAACATTCAAAGATTCTTCTCATAATGGCAATATAGTCAATTTGGAGGAAGATGAAGATGATATAGTCATGCCCACTCCAAGGTCATTGGGAAGAGATAAAAAGAAAGATGAAGAAAAAAAAAAAAAAAAAAAGGGGAAAGGTGTTGAAGGTTATCTCAACCAAAGTGGAAAGTTCTTGTCTGAATTGGTTCAACAAGGAAATAAGGCAAAGGGGGATAAGAGGCGAAAGTTAGAGTTCCTACAAGAGTAACATGCCTATCAAATCCAACGAGATAAGGAGGCCAATGAACAGAGGATAATGTCCATGGACCTATCTAAATTTACTCTAAGAAAGAAGAAGTATTTGGGGAATAAGCAAGACGAAATTATTGAGGCCCAGATGAATACAAGTTCCCTCTACAATCCAGAAGACAACTCTGGAGACTATATCCAAGCCCTCCACATAGTGGTTATTAATTTATGTTTATTTGTAATTGTTGTTTATCTTTATTTATGTTGTTGAACTTGTTTTTATTTTTAAGTGAAATTCTATTATGTTTTGGAATTTTAATTTTTTTAGGTTAAAATGTTTAGAAAATTAAATCATGAATGTTGAAACAAAAATAATGTCAATAAAAATTAACGAGAAAAAAAATTTATGAGTTAATCATTCTTAAACAATTTAATAAAGTTGCGAACTCAAATTATGAGTCTGCAAGGTTGGAGGAAAAAAAATTTTGAGTCCTGAAAATACATGAATAGATATATTTTGGAGGATGAAAATTTGAGTTTAGCCCCAATATGATTGGAGATGGCCTCATTATAGTCTCTCTGTTATTTGAGTTCATTGAATTTGGGCTTGAATCTGGTTTTCAATGACTGAAGCCCATTAAAAGCCCACATTAAGAGTTAGCTGGGACCTCAAACCAGCAAAGCAAACGGCAAAATCCCAGCAACGAGAACCAACCGACATAATATAAAACTTTGAGGCATCCGACCGGACACAGACTCCACCAACACACCAAATCAAAAACACATCCCCCACAATATCCGAAACTGAACCACACGCGCCCTCTAATCGCCTGTGGAATCTCTCCAAATATTCGCAAAACTCTACTCCCCGCCACATAATCCACCATAAGCTCCACCCTCACGTGAACCCCACGCTCGCTCTCTCTAGTATACTCGCCTTCCCATTGGTCCGTAAGACGTCACTCCCTAACATGGCGCGTGAGTCAATCACCCCCCCACCCCTGCTATGAAACTTCCCGGGCACGACTCTTTTGGTGCACCCACACGCTTCGTCCACTTCTCCGCTCCCTCACGAACCCCTCCCTCGCCGTACACCTGTAAGATAAGGATACAGAGAGAGAGAGAAGAGAGAGAAACTTGGTGAGAGAGACTGTGAAGCGTTTTAGAGAGAGAAACTAGAGAGAGAAGGTGCGAGATCTGGTCGAAGAGAAAGGCAAACGAAGCTCGAAAAGCTCAAAAAGCTCGAAGCTTCCCCCTACTGTTGGTTGTTGGTGTTGTTGATGTTGTAAGCCCTAACTTTCTCTCTCTGTTTTGTTGTCTTTTGGTGGGAAACCCTAATTTGATTTTTGTGTCTGTATGTGGGTGTGTGAGAATTGGGGGAAATACTAGGGTTTTGTCAATTTTTTTTTTGTTCTCTTTTGTGGAGAGAGGGAAAGCGGAAAAAAAACCCTAGGAATCTTGGATCTTTGCGAGAGGGGAAAAAGTGGGGGTTAGGGTTTTGGGAGGTACATGTATGGCTTCGGAGCCTATAGTAGGAGAAGGTGATGGAGCCAGAGAGAAGCAGAGGTACACGGAGAGCAAGGTCTATACTCGAAAGGCTTTCAAAGGCCCCAAGAAGAAGAGCATCGACAACAACACCACCAAACCCACAGAGGCCAACCCAACAGCCACAACCGCCACCGCCACAACCACCACAGCCGTAACCGCCCCCTCCGTCACCACAACCACCACCACCGCCGACGACAATAACATCAACAAGAACGATAACCACCGGAAAGACAACAACATCAACCAGAACGACAACAACATCAACCAGAACGACAACAACAAGAGCGACAAGCAGGATAACAACAAGAAGAATGATGAGAATGAGAATTCGTCCCAGCCTCCTCCGGCTCAGACTATTGCGTCTGAGGGGAATTCCGCTCAGCAGCAGCAGCTCCTTCCGCCGTCTGATGCTGCCGCCTCTGGCGATTCCTCCAGCCTGAACCGGCAAGAGGTGGCCGTGGCAGTGGTGGAACCTGAAAGTCGGGACCCACCTGTGGAAAATGGGCTGGCGAAGGAGGGGCCGGAGAACCGAATGAAGATTAATTTGGCTTCAAGGTCGAAGCAGGAGATGCGTGAGCTTCGGAGGAAGCTTGAGAGTGAGCTTGATATGGTGCGGAGTTTGGTGAAGAGGATTGAGGCCAAACAGGGGCAGATTGGTGGGTTTAATCACTCCCTTGTAACGAATGAGGGGGTCAATAATAGTGGTGCAGTGCTGAGACGGGTTCACTCTGAGGTTGCTTCTGTTGGTGTTCCCCGTGAAGTTACCAGGCCTTTGCATCAGCTGAGTATATCAGTGTTGGAGAATAGTCAGGGAATGAGTGATATTGTGGAGAAAGAGAAGAGAACCCCCAAGGCGAACCAGTTCTATCATAATTCTGAGTTTTTGCTGGCTAAGGATAAGTTTCCACCTGCTGAGAGTAATAAGAAGTCAAAATTGAATGGGAAGAAGCATGGTGGAGGAGATTTAGGGCAAGGGTATGGCATGGGAAGCAAGTTTTTTAAGAGTTGCAGTTCTCTGCTTGAAAAATTGATGAAACACAAGCATGGTTGGGTGTTTAATGAACCTGTTGATGCTGCCAAGCTTGGTTTGCACGATTATCATATCATTATCAAGCACCCAATGGACTTGGGTACCATTAAGTCGAGGCTGAACAAGAATTGGTACAAATCTCCGAAAGAATTTGCAGAGGATGTGAGACTTACATTTCACAATGCCATGACTTATAACCCACAAGGGCAGGATGTTCATGTTATGGCAGAGCAGCTATCCAGGATATTTGAGGACAGGTGGGCTATCATAGAGTCAGATTATAATCGTGAGATGAGGTTTGGATATGATTATGGGGCTAGTCTTCCTACACCTACATCAAGAAAGGCACCTCCACTGCCACCACCTCCTCTTGACATGCGAAGGATTTTGGACAGGTCTGAGTCTATCTCTCATCATGTTGATCCCAAGCCAAAGCCCATCACTATTACTCCTAGAACCCCCGCTCCAAAGAAGCCTAAGGCTAAGGATCCTCATAAAAGGGACATGTCTTATGAGGAAAAACAAAAGCTTAGCACAAGCCTCCAGAGTCTACCTTCAGAGAAGCTGGATTCCATTGTACAGATTATTAAGAGGAGGAATTCTGACCTATTCCAGCATGATGATGAAATTGAAGTGGACATTGATAGCGTTGATGTTGAGACCCTGTGGGAGCTTGATAGGTTTGTAACCAACTACAAGAAGAGTTTGAGCAAACACAAGCGGAAAGCTGAAATGGCTATGCAAGCCAGAGCAGAAACTGAGCAGAATGTCCAGCAGCAGGTAATGCTTTGACTCATACCTTATGACATCTGGCTTTTTTGGTGGCTTTTGTTGGTAACTGATTTTTTCTTCTTTATTTCTTTACAGACCCAGGACCCCATTGTGGCAGAGGTGCCCAAAGAAACCAAAACAGGTTAGTATTTCAGAATGTGAGATTTGATGGCATTGAAATTAGTGATTTCATGGAGAAACTGATAAGTTGAAACTCGTTCTTTATGTGAGCAGATGAAAAGATTATTTCTTCTTCAACACCCATTCAAGGGGATAACCAGGGTGATAATAGGAGTAGGTCAAGTAGTTCAAGCAGCTCTAGCAGTGATTCTGGATCTTCCTCAAGTGGTACTGTGACACATATCTCTGTTTGTGGATAATGAATTTTTTCATGGATTGTTGGGCATGCAGTATTTCAATGATGCAATATGTTGTTTAGTCAGGCATTTTCTTTTTCTTACATATGTGTTTCTGCAGACTCAGATAGTGATAGTTCGTCAGCATCTGGATCAGATGTGGGGTCGCCGAGGACTTAACGATTTAATTTTGAGGTAAGATCCGTCAACATGATTTTGTCCCCTGCCAACTTGATCTTGTTCCAAGCATTTTGTAGTTTTTGTGCTTCTTTAGTGTTAAGTTGGGATTATATCGTACTTGAATTAAATAATCTGCAAGTGAAATGCGGTAGCACCCTAAAAAATTTAAATTGTCTGCCTTGGAGACACATGTTGAGGTTCTTACATTACTTACGAGCCAAACTATTTTATGAAGGTTGTTGCATGATTCATCTAGTAGATGTGATGTCATGAGAATTATCGGTAAACCACTATCACTGTTTATTTGACAAACCTTGGCAAGTTTGTTACTCATTATTGATTATGGTGAAGAGCTTTGAATGGTGGAAAATTTGTTGTAAAATACTGTAGATACTGCAGAAAATGAAACTTATGCAGTGGGTTGTGTATTATTTTCTTGTTATTATATGAGGCTGTTGGTTGGTGTTATAGTTGTGATGCTATGCTGGTTTCTTTATAGGTATATTTGGAGGTTATTTGGTCACATAATGCTTTACATGGACCGTATCATTTTAGCCTTCTGTACCCATTGGCAAAACATGATAATATGGGTAAGGGTTTGGTTGTTTAGACTTCAAGAGTGTGGATAGTTATAGGAAAACTGGTGAATCCAACACTTGGACTCAGCACCCACATCTGATAACCATAACCCACGTAACACAGGCTACAATTTGTCCATCTTGGCGGCGCATGCCAAGCCTGCTGTATTAAGGTAGCTGTAGCTTCTTAAGATAGCAACTCCTTTTTATTTTTACCACTGACTATTAATTTTTGTACAACCTGTCAAATCTGGTGTTAATGTTCATTTCATATAACTCACCAATCTTGGCAAAGTTGTCATCCATCCATTCCCCTGCTTTTTTATTATCCTCTCTCCCCCTTCCTCTCCTTGTCTAAGAATCTCAAGGGATTTATCATAACAGTCCTTAACCCTGGAAAAGTATGGATATTACTCAGTAATAATGTTTTAGGTACTTAATTTATTTTTTGGCGCTGATTCTTCTAGTTGTCTTTTTTCCCTTTTCAAACGGGAAAAAAATTATCTGGCCAGTGAGAATGTTTCCATTGGAATTTGGTGCAATACGATTCAAAGTTGACTGGAATTATTGAACAATTTTGCCTTGAATTATGAAAATCCCTTGGTTGTTTTGTCTATCCTGTTCCATTATTGGGGCTTTGATATGTTGATTGTAGAGTGGCCTGACCAATGTGTCAGCCACCAAAGTATGGTGGTTGGTCCTGTTTTCCTGTTAGGGAAGGATTATTTTAAGTGAGTAAGATGGAAAGGCCTAGTGGATGTTTCTTTCAAATGATTTCTGTTGTTGGATTATGGAATTGCAGTGATTTGTTTCTCACTGGAGACTTGGTTTCTTGTTTTCTGTTTTCCTGTCTTTGTATAGCGCATGTGTACTCGGTTCAGGCCAGTTTAATCTATCATTTTTTTTGTTCATTTTTGTTGATACTTTCTTTCTTTGCAAGAATTTCAAAGCAAATCATGTAAGAAAATAACCTGTCTTTCTAGTGTGAGGGTGTTTGGATTTGGTCAGTTAAGTGAGCAAGTCAGAGTTAACGACCATTATGTTGTTGGCCTTTGATAATTTGGTCACATCTAATCTTTAGTATACTTGCATGTTGCTTAAATTTCTTACTTTACGGTCCATGTGTATACCTTACTTGGCTTTATGTCGTAAGACAATAAAATAAAGGCCATCTTGAAACCATACTTTTTCTGAAGTAAGTTTTGGCTTTATTTGTGGCTTTGGGCATACTTCTAGTTTTAGTGCACATATATACTTCAAGCAAATTTGTTTCGTCTTGAATTAGTTGAAAGGAGTGCTATCCTGCTTTTTGCTTGGGCATTGATGGAGGGCTGGGAACACAATTACATTGTTGAGGTGCAGAGAATAGAACTTGAAGATGTGGTATCTTTCAGGTGGAATACAAGTCAGTTTTGTTCCTGTACGATCAGGGATCTGATTAGTTAATTATTAGTAGATTTTCTGCATGCAACCCCACTAAGATATTTCTGGTAGGTTTATTTATGCTGGAAAATTACTGGACTATTTGATTCAGAATCGACAAAGCCAAAATAGGGCATTTTGGCCATCCATAAGATATTTCTGGTAGGTTTATTTATGCTGGAAAATTATTGGACTATTTGATTCAGAATCGACAAATCCAAAATAGGGCATTTTGGCCATCCATAAAGGCACACCATGTAGAGTAGTATAAAAGTACTGGTTTTGACTTTATGTTCACCTGCTTTGGTCCATAAGATAGTAGAGTTTCATTCTCAATCAGTTTGGTTCTGCTTTTTCTTCTTATGTAAGAATCAGCTTGGTGTAAATCAAATCCTAAATCCGACCAGTGTACCGTGCTGTGTAGCCTGTGAAAATAGTGCATAACAAAATTTCCTGAAAGAGCTAGAATAATGCTCTGTCAATGCTAAAATCCTAGTGTGGTTTGAAGTTGTGGTGATGAAGTTTTTTATGACTATTGAAGAATGTATGAGATCGGTGCGTGTAACTGAATTTGTTTCTTTTCTTTTCATTATTAGTGGGTTCCCTCCTTTCCTACTAACTGTTGGAGCACAAATGATTGCTATGAGTAAATTTCAATTTTCGAACAGAATAATTCCCATGTTAAGGGGTCGCTAAATAAATGTGTTCCCCCCCTTGCCCTCTTGGGGTATGCTATGTCATAATGAGTCTTTGGATTTGGAATGATTTGATGACAGTAATTATGTAATTGACTGGTTCCTTTTTTTTTACTAGATATGATCCGCAAATGCTAATTACGATTTTCTTAAATGGCAGATGTCTGAAAATTAGGGTAGATGGTGATTTTGCTGCATGGTGATTGGAAGCTTTTCAGACGATGGATTTGAATCTACAATTGGTGTATAGTGGAAATTTTCTCCATGGGCTCCAACCATCCTGCAAGTATAGATTGGGGTTGTCACTTTAATTGGTTCCTCAATGCCTACATGCGGCCCCCATTGGTCTGGTCAGAATCAGAATTTGTATAATATTGGTAGAATGTGGTGATAATTAGTTTCTCATAGCACGTGTACATTTTGCTAAGTACTGCTACCCGTCTAAATTCCGGTGACTTGGTTTCGGTTTCGTGCTGACAGATTCAGGATGCTTTGGTTTTACACAATAGATAGATAGTCTGTAATCCAAGTTGATTGAGTCAAATTGCTCCATATGAATTTTCTTGTGTTTTCATGAAATGAATATGTTGGTAGATTTGTATGCACTACGGCGTGGTTGTAGTAGTAGTCTCAATCTCAACAAGATCAGCATAATTGTACTCTGAATTGACGGCGACGGAACTCGATTTTATGCTCTGTTTTGGTTGGAAAAAAATCAAAAGATTTGAAAGAATTGTTCCTGGTTATGCAGCTATATTGCAGAGGTCACTAAAGTATGTATTGATTGTGAGGCTGGCTTAAACCTCCGTACAATCGTTTACTATGTTGGGGTTAGCAGGTTTTATTTTAAGTACGGTTTCTCTAAACTGTTTCAACAGCCAAAATAAAGTATCAGTTTAAATAAAGGTCTTCTTTTGGTCAACGAAATAAAGGTCTTAAAAACGGAAATATTGTCCGAATATCAGGGACCAGAGACCTTCAAGACAAACCCAAAATTCAGATTGAAAACCAACCCCCACTCCCCCTTTCCCCGCACCCCCCCACCCCCCACCAAAACTTTTGTGGGGAAGGGTGTGGTTTTTCAGTTTATGTTTGAATTTTTTATTTAAACAATAAAACATTTGTTAATTTTAAACAATTTTTCTAATAATTTTTCTAACAATTTTAAACAATTGTTCCTCTCTCTCTCTCTCTCTCTCTCTCTCTCTCTCTCAATTTGCGTAGGCTTTTCGTCGTGGTGGCCTTCTTCCTCGTTGATCTCGCCTCTGTCCTAGCTCCACCTTGTAGGACTTGCAGTCGACTCAGTGAATGGTCACTGCTCCTTCGCCCCGTACCTCATTGGCATCACTGAAACAAACCAAACCAAGCTGTAAATCTTGGTGGATAGACGTGCTTGATGACGTCTCATCTCAGGTCGGCGATCTTCATAGTCAATATGGTCGGTTCTGTGATGAGTTTGGGCCCAACACTAAACCAAACGACGTCGTGCCCAACCCTAATGCAAACAAAATTCCTGTGACTTTGCATCAATGTTTTTTTTAATGAATTCGAGTGATATTGAGGGGTGGGTGATTGGAATACAGGACCTCAAGTGAGATTGGTGATTGGAATATGGGACCTTGGATGCAGTGTGGTAACAGCTCTTAACAACTTGAGCTACAAGCTCATAACGTTGTGACTTTGCATCATTAACTAAATTAGAGAAACGCAAAAATTGAACAATTATGGGCTTTGGGCGATAGAAAACCAGTAAATTTGCGATCCAAATAAAAATGCCAAAACCAGGCCCAAACAAACAGACCATAAACGGTTTGTTTATCAACGAGCATTGAACGGACCAGGAAAACAAAAAATAAAAAAAGAATCAACAAGAATTGGAGGTCAGCACCAGCGGCATTCACATGAAATGAAATGCAGCGTCTGAAACTGAAACCCATGCTTTCTCCAACATTACAACGCTCCTTGTGCTCCCATGCCCCTATCTTATTCTGCCTCAAAATCAACTTCTTTTCTTCTTCTTCTTCTTCTTCCTTGCAATGTTCACCTTGGACTGGTCTGCAAACCTGGAGAGAGTCCCCACTCAATGAGAATCGTTTCTGGGGACCCAAAGGCCCAAAACCTCAGCCGCTACAGTCACAGCCGTCTTCTCTTAACAGCGATGACAGTCCAATGGTGTCATCAGCTTCCTCTCTTGCAGAGCTTGGTGCTCTGGTTCTCTCCACCAGTGACCCTCTCGCCAAATCCAAGCTTTCCCATCTTGCTTTTTCCAGGTGGCACCTAGAGAACCTTCCAATTGGCTCGTGTGAACCCCCTCCTCGACCCGCTCGCCCTCTCAAACCTCAACTGGTTTGTTTCCCTGTTCCTTAAAAATACATTTTTTTTAAAATTTATAAATAATGATAAAGCTTTGTACTTGTTGCATTTGAGGGTATTTTTAATATACCCTTGAATTTGGTATTGCATATTTTCCTATTGTTTGTTTGTTTTCATGGAAATTTCCTGTTTCCAGTGTTTTAATTTATATTTATTTTTTCTGAACAAACTATAAAGATGTATACAATGCTTGTGCACATCTGTGGGCACTCATTTTCGTCATGTACATTGTGAATTCAGGTTTCCCCGAAAGAAATTCCAGCTCCCAAGAACTCGGGTTTGCCTCTTAATGCTTATATGCTTCATAATCTTGCTCATGTTGAGCTCAATGCGATTGACTTGGCTTGGGATACTGTTGTTCGTTTTTCACCTTTTAGTGAGACTCTAGGGGAGGGATTTTTCGCTGACTTTGCTCATGTCGCTGACGATGAGAGTCGCCATTTTGCTTGGTGTTCTCAGAGACTTGCTGAACTTGGTTTCAAGTGAGGAGAGTAGTTACTTTGGGTACATAATTGGTTGTTGTTTCTTAGGTTGACTTATAACTTTGCTTTTGTGACAAGTTATGGAGACATGCCTGCTCATAATCTGCTTTGGAGGGAGTGTGAGAAATCATCTGAAAATGTTGCTGCACGTTTGGCAGTGATCCCTCTCGTCCAGGTAATATCCATAAACCCTATGTTATCTCTAATATTTAAAGAACAACATTTTTCTCAGCCAATAGATCAGACATAAACAAGCTGGGATGCATGTCATTGCATCTTAGGTATCCATATATAATGTCGGTTGAGAAAAATGTCCTTATTAAAACTTCTTAAGGAAAAAATATGTTTTTTTTTTCCATGCGATAACAATCTGTGACATCCCTCAATACCAATGTTTTGTGTTGACTATTGTCTGTGCTGATTGGCAACATCTCCAATTGCAGTGTTGCATAGTTTAAAATCTTCACATGTGTGCAATGTATATGTAATCAGTTTCTCTTGCTTTGTTGTGTAACATGCTGTTATCTTGTCAGACTATCAATCAGGATAGTTTAATTGGTTAAGTTGTGTCTGAATCTGCAGTCTTGATTTGCTGGACATTCTGGAAAGAGATCATCCTATATATATATATATATATATATATATATATA